GTGTCGATAAATTAATCATTTGATGCGATGATTCGTGACTTTATGGATAGTGACGCATTGACTTGTGTGCTCAAAAATTCAGTTTATTCAGCCGATGTGTGAGAACTCGCATTGTTGTGATGAAGAGAGAACGGTCTTCGGCCATTGGTTTTACTGATTTCTGGAGAGGCAACCTACAAACAAATGGGTCACTCAAATTTTACTTTTTCTCGTCGTTCTAGTACAAAGGCAAACATTTGTTTGAAATTTCTTCGCGCGCAAAAAACAGTTTTTGGATTTCGCTCATCTTTAGGCTTTCATTCGAGCTCATACACTTAAATTAACTATTCATCACCTGTGACGATGTCACACACCACATCCCACTATCATAGTTTTTGAACATTTCTCACAACCAATCGACAAGAGCCTTTTCTTAATTGATTTTTTTTACACTAAAATGTTCATGGAATATTGTATGTAAGCTGGTCCCAATAATGCCGATAGTTGTCTCAAGCTCACTACAGATCATATGGCCATTTTGCAATATAAGCTTGCGAAAACATTAATATGGACAACCTTCAAGGAATTTGTTTTGGAATACCCTGTGATCTCGGTGGCCAATTGACATCACGCAGACGCCATATTCACTCTTGTTGAAACCAAATATAGTCCGAGTTGTGTTCTTCAAATGCAGTCCAAAAATGCTACCAATTGAAGTCCACCGTTGTCATTTTCAAAGACGCACTTTCGCACCTAAGAGCACATCAGACAGTAAGTTTTTTTTTTTGGTGCAATTAATTATTTGAGGATTCTCGTAGCACTAAATGTGACAATTTGGCTTATTTATTTTACCCTCGAGTGAGAAATGTGCCGTCGTCGTTGTAGTCGAGAAAAATTTCTCCGAAAATCGCCGTTCACTGCTTGTTGTTCAAGCAAAGAATCGACCTATGTACGGCGTTGTAAATTATCAACTGGCTTCAGTTGTTGTGTGAGCTGGACTTTATATGGATATGGATGTAAGTCCAAGTGCATAATACACCACAGTGTATCATAAGAAAGTCCCAGCTCTTGAGAACGTCGAGATATAGTCACATTCGGGTCTTTGGCTACATTTTCACTTACAGTAGCGATATTTGAGGTGGAACATATTGAGGTGCTCCACTTTTCCTCGCCTGTCAATAGCTGGTGCAGAAATAACTTACCTGATATTGAATTAGAATATCGGATCAATGTGATTGCGTCAGTGTTGCCAGAATTTTTTCAGTAAAGTAACCTGCCCGCACCGTGTATATAGCGCCATCATATACACAGTGTTATCCACTTTGCGGTTTCGAATACCAACGTAGAGGAAATGCATTCAAATATTTTTTTTTTTTTCATGAAATTCTTTTTTGATTATAATGTTTAAGCCTTGGCATTGGCATAAAATGTGGCCACATTTGAATAATCATTTTTTGCAGTATGTTTAAGCAATTTGAACACACTGTGGGGTTGTTAAGCGATCCAGTTTTATAAATGCCAGACTTTTAACTAAAATCAAACATATTTGGTTTGACAGCTAAGTTTGAGAGATGTCAAAATACCGTAATTTTAAAATAGTTAAAAAATGTGAGGCTGATTTATCGATTATTTATTAAAAATATTAAAAAGTTCATGGCAAAAATGTTGGAAACTGAACGTGGACTTAACTACTTACCAGCAGTTAGTACACTTTGGTTAGTTCAAGTTTAAAACACCACTCGTTAGCTCTAAATATGTTTTCCTTTATTCCCATTTCATGTAGCATTCATACAAATAAATTTGATACTAAATATAATTTTGAAATTCTTAATCACCTCACGCTAATACAGACTTAATTCTAATATGCGTACTGCACATATGTACATACATACACGCGAATTTATGTAGCTCTCCGCTATATTTATAAATAATAATTTAATTAAAATAGAATGGAATACAAAGAAATGGTTTAATTACGATTACTAAAAAAAAAAAGGAATTGTATTATATATGTATACATAGTTATATGTTATTGTGTATACATTTTTCAAATCATATACATATATATAAATCAGCATACATTTATTATATGCCACTATTTTAGCATATTTATTAATATTTCTTTTTGCATTTCTTACAAGTAATTAACTCCGTAGCAATTTTAGGCGGGGCAATTAGGGGGAGAGCATTATTTTATGCTTAAGCCACGAAGCTTTCAATTGAAAATATGACATACTTGTACATACTCGTATGTATATACATATTTTTCACCTGCTTATTGCTATATGTACGCGCTTTAACGATTTTGTAGCAATTCTCTGTTTAATAACTACTATTCATTTAATATGTATGTATGTATATATGTTCAACTTTTGCATATAATTCATGAGCTACCTTTGCATTATATTCGTAAATATTTAGTATATTTATGCATGTATATATACAATATAATTTTGTTCTGGAATTTTGTTTATAGATAACAGTTCTAACGTGAATCGCTTTGCATGATATGTATGTTAATGTTTACTAAATTGAATTTTTATAACATCTAACCTAACAGTTTCAATAATTTATAATACATATGTAGGGTTTTTTTTTACTATTATTTTAATATATATTTTAAATTAAAGTAATGTTACTTTCAACTCTTAAATGAATCCCTTATGCGTATATGCATATCTCATACATGAAAACACTTCATTTTTATTTGTTGTTAGTTTTGTTTTACACAATTAATTTTATGTTTTATTTTTAAATATACAAATTGTATCTTTTATTTATTTTTCTTCTATTTCTATAACCTTAAACCTTTCTTTGTCACTCTTTCCATTATTTACCTACAATAAACCTTGTTTCTATTCTAAATTAATCTTGTGCATACAGTCTTTCATATCATACAAGCAGCGCTATCTCATTGCTTTGTTATTTTAATATCTGTTTATAATAAATTAAAACTATTAACATAAGGCTTTAAAAGTATTGAGGTTATCAGATAAATTATTGAAATTAATCTTTGCCCCGAATGAGTAACGAATAAACCATTGGTCGCAAGTATTTGTTGGGTTTGTTGTGCGTATGACGTATACAGCCGAATCATCCGGAAAGTTTACCAGGGACCGATCCATACGAAAAAATCGAATTTATTTTTAAATCGCTTGATTTATATGGATGTCGATGCAGTAATTGTTTTGGGCCCAAATTACCATTCCCGGGAGCAACAAGTTTTCTTTTGGGGAAAACTTCCGAAATTCATTCTTTGGTTCGACTTTACTTAATTGCCTGCTCCTAAGCGGGGTTAGCGAACTATTTCAACAACGAAGAAAAACAACAGTAACAGAAATATGAACACCATGCATTGTCTCCGGGGCCTCTTAAAATAATTCTACTTATAGTTCAGTGGCTCGAAAGCGTGGATTTTGTGATTGCCGAAAATCAATATGAATCAAATGCAAAAAAATGTTCCAAAATTCACCGAAAATCATTTTGTTTCCCATACAGTGACAAATACTATCGAAAAAAAAACTAGTACATACTGATTATTTGGAAAAATAAAAGTAAAAAATATGCAGGAAATCGAAGAAAATATACCCTGGACCAAATGGTCTCATAATCTCATATTCCTAATATTTTTGCTGAGTGCGGTTTTAAGTAAGAATTTTTTTTCGTTGCACAGACAATGGTCTCATAAAAATTAAGCCGAATTAAGTCAACAGAATTACTGTTCAAAATTTACAAAGGAAATAAGCAAAAATTTGGACCAAATCAACCAAATCCAACCTCAGGGTCAACTTAATTTAATGCTTGTGAACACCAAATGCAGTGCATCTGTTTATAAATTAATTGCCGACTTCGATTTGGTATTTTTTAAATGTATCTTTATGCATGTAAAGCTGATTTGAAACAAGGATACTCCCGGCGAAGAGATTTCAAATGTATGGATTTCAATAATTGCAGAGGAATAACCAAATAAAAATTTTAGCCTAGACAAACTAGTTGCTGCCTTTAAGTTTTTTTTTTAATTTTAGAAACAAAAACCTTTGGTCTATAACTTATTAGTAAGCTCAATTAATACCAGGTGCAGAAAAACATTCCAAAACATTCATTTACGATAACAGTAGTGATCGAAAGGTAGGGAATTATCTACTATGAGCTGTTTCCATACGATAAAACTCTTAACTCGGAACTCTACTAGCAACAATTGAACCATATGAACGAAGCAATCGCCCAATAAGAGAAGAAATATGTCCCATCAGGACAACGCCAGGCCACACATATCGATAGTGACTCGCTAGAAGCTCCGGGAGCTTGGTAAAAAGGTTCTTATGCATCCACCTTATAATATAGTCCGAGTCTGGCATGAGGTTAATACCGTTCACCCTTGTCCATGGCGGACAAGTTTGCTGGTGAAAAATTCGATTCAAGAGGGGCTTGCCAAAATCGGCTGTCTCCATTTTTGCCAATGGGAACGAAGCCTTCTATGAGAGAACATAATAAAATTACCTTTAATATGGCAACAAGTTATCGCGCAAAACGACGCATATTTGACCTTCGGATCTTTTAGCTATGGTATTTAAAGCTTTCGATTTCATATAAAAATAATGGATTCCTTTTTACTACGCCTTATATTTGTAAACTGATAGAGGGTATGTATGGGGATCAGACCTTTTTTTTGTATAGAAATAACTTATTTAAACTTAATAAGCTTCAAAAAATATTTTACTAAAATTACGCTCCGCATACAACAAACGAAAATAATTACTTCGTCTTCAAGGATCAGAAAGAAAACCTAAATAATTCATACAAATAAATACAATTTCTGTTTTTAGTTATTTAGGGAAGCAATCAAAGATAAACTTTAATTCTATTCTTATATTATTTAACATATTCCTATAACTATTGAAAATAAATAAGTACAAAATAATTAAATAAAATTTCACCATTTCTTTCACAAGAATTCGCAAATAAATTTTCCATTTTTTGTTTTGCTCATAACTCACATTTTATTTAATTGTAACATTCTTATATACTTAATTTTATTTCTTCAATCCTTCCAATATTTCTAATTGCATTGATAACATTATAATCATCGGCATCATCAACACCATACGAGTTTGCGATTGACTCATTGTGGCAGCATGCGTTATACTACTTAACACTCGCACATACATATACATATACATATATTCTAAATTTGCACACATACACAGCTGCGCTTACATACTACATATACATATTTACAATTGGATACTCATATCATACCAGCTAACAGTAAATTCTTTTAGCCTTAACAGTTAGTCGTCGTTAACCGCAACCACAATGTCATCAGTATATCAACAACACAGCACCCAGCAACTGTCAGACGTCTATCAGCGGTGCAACTTTTCTCAACAGTAGTGAAGTTGTAAACAACAACGTTGCCGTCACTGTCAGTTTATGGTGTTGACAATGCTCTGCAACGGCAGCTGAGTCATAGTAACCATCTTCTAATTCGTTGCCAAGTATCATATCTAAGTGTGACGGAGAGAGGGAGAAAAGGAAAATTTAAAAAGTTGTTGCAAGTGACACGGCTCAGAGATTTTTAGTCAATTTAGAACACAAGTTAACGAGTTTTAAGGTGAATTTCTTGTAATCTGTAGGTAGCACCTATATTTTCCTAATAATAACTTTTGTGTGGAATTTAATTATGAAATGAACTTTACTTAATGGTAAAGCCACTCTTGAGGTTGAAAAATAGACTCATTTTTTTAAATTTATTTTAGGAATATACAAAAATAAATATTATTTCTACATATCCATTGCATTGAACATATATTGAAGTATATAAAAGATATTCTTTAATTACTAGTTTATTATAAAATGGCGGTGTAAAGGGATGACATAAGTCTTGAGGGCCAAAAAAAGGTTATTTTCTCTAATTTTTTAAAAGACACTAAATAAGGTATACTATTTATTTTATTTACACATAAAAGTACAATATCTGGACAACAATTGATGAAAATTTGAACGAAAAATAGCATAATTTAAGGCGTTGGCAGTGTCGTGAAGTAGACCGTCCACAAGAAAGTGCTTTCGCGGTAGTCATGATAACTTTTTTACTTTTGATCTGAAATCAAAAATTCCAAATTTTTTCTTGTGGTTTTAAGAAAAACGCGTTTAAAGCGGCGGGTTATAAAACTCTCTAATTTCTATAGTTTCGTCTCGATCGACTTGATGCTTGGGGAAAATAATTCTGACACTTTGTACCTTTATACAAAAAATTACCAAAAAAGTTAATTTTTTGAAGTTTCAAGACATATGTAACCCTTTAACATACAATATGTTTATTTGGAAAGGCGTCCACGGGAGGACCGATTTCTTCTACAGATTAAGATCTAGAACAGAAAAGGAAGGAGTTTTAAGATCTACAAACAATATTCTGTGGAAGTACGCACGGATTTATTTTTTGAACTAATTTTTGTGAAAGAACACATTTTTTTTAAATACGCCTTACATTATTAAAAAAAAAATTATTAGAAAAGTTAACATTTAATCGAAAACCGGCTACGCACTTTCAAATGATGTATTTGTGAAGCTATTATCAAAATTTCAAATGAATCTGGAAATGTGATTTTGAGAAAAACGCGTTGAAAGTTTGCATTGTGCTCAGCGCACGCTTTGAGCGGCTACAACAAAATAAAAATTCAGCTATTGGAAATATTTTTTTTCACTTTAAAACAAATTGCATATCATTTATATGACCCAAAGGTACCCAGTGAGCAAAACAAAAATTGCGTTTTTCAAAATCCCAGAGTTGCTTTACCCCTGAAGAATGATTCTAAGATATTTTTAAAAGGGACGAAAATAATTAATTATGAACGAAAAATAAGTCTACATATAAGTATGTACTCATATATATATAACTGAAGCGCTCCTCCTTCAATTTGTGGTTTTGCGTCTCGTGGTTTTGGAGGGATTTACAGCTTATACTAAGCCGCTTCCAAACGGCTCATGGTTATTTTCCGAGAGGCCATTATTTCATATCAGAAGTACACTCGGACGGGTTGATATTCCCTGTCGAGGGGTAACCGCAATTACAAAATTTAGCTTAATTTTTTATTCAAATTAATTTTTTCAAACTTTTCGGATGTTAGTACGACACCAGGATTTGAGCCCGAGCCTTCCGAATGGCAGTACGCAATGCTAACCACTCGCCGTATGTATGTATAAACCTTATGAAAACCTTCATAGAGAAAATAAGGGTGCAATTCTTATGGCTTGAAAGATTTTCCCCAAATTTATGGAAACAAATGAAGTGATATTTGAAGGATAGGTATCGCTTGGTAGATTTACGTTCAAGCTTCTTACCAGTCTTTAGAAATTCAGCGTGCGAATAGCTGATCAGAATGACACCATCTAGCGTGAAGCGACAACACTTTGGAATATTTCTTTCAATAAATGTGGTTGGGGTTTCATGTTCTTATTAACATGTACAATTTTAATAAGAATACTAATAAGCCCAGCCGTCCAACCGACTCGAGAGGCGATCTCCGCATAACATACGGAATATGTCGAGTCATGATTGAGAAGCTTTTGTTATGCGTCGAGTTTTAAAACTGTACAGCTACAGAGAAAAATAATTATTCAACAGATGAAATTAAGAAATTAAAGAATTTCAAAATTTAATTGTTGAGAGAAACCAGAATCGTTTTATTTATGCTAAAAAGTAAGTCTGAGAGATCGAAGGTGCTGGAATGAATATTAAAATTTTGACAAAATCGGCGAAAGGGTTCATTTAATTCATAATTTATTTTAAATGACTTTAATAGTAAAGACCTGTACTGCCTAGATACACGAGTTGGAATTTTAAAGTTTACCTCAGACAAAAGCCATGAACTACAATACAAATTGATCCGTTCAGAAATTTCACTACGGACAATGCGCCAAATATTTCTCTGGGACTTACGAGAGTAGGTAGATTTAGAAGCTTTAAACGGTTGGTATAGAGAGGAAGATTGATTGTAGAATTCCATCGGAAATATCTTAAGACAAAGGGTAAAAATTGTTTTTGAGCAGACTCCAACTTATCGGAATGAACTTGATTATTGGGTTTCGATATCAGTGAACCATATTCTAATATTGGACTCACCAAAGTCATATAAAGTGATTTAGTTACATAAAGGACGGCTTGTACGATGAGCATTGCTTTGTCGTAGAAAATTAAAGAAAAGAAATTGCCTCACAGCTTTGCCATCAGCTAAAATACGAGCGGTGTGGGATATAAACCGGCATTAGAAGAGGGAAACGAGACATACGCAAGCAGGAAGAGGTCGAATTAATTGAGTGTGACATACTCAAAAACTGTATATAAATATAGACTGGAAGATACTCTTGTAAGACTAAGAGTGGTGATCTAGCGACTGATGCTAGGAACAATTTCGCAACCAGCTGATCGTCAGTAAAAATGAAATATCAGAAGATAGCCAACCGAATTTCCAAATCGGTGATGATAAAACCGATGAATGCATTAGGTTCTTTGCAGAATATCGTCAGACTGAAGCATACCCAATGTTTGGAAGCTTTGCCAATGCCACAAAAACGAAGAGTAGTGATAAGCTTCCTTAGCATCACATATAAGGTCCTATCGAGCGTTTTGGCTGAAAGACTAAACCCCGCCGTCAACAAACTGATTGGACCTTATCACTGTAGTATTAGGCCTGGCAAGTCAACCATTGACCAGATAATCACCATGCGTCAAATCTTGAAAAAGAACCCGGGGAAACGGTATCGACACACACCACCTTTTCCTCGATTTCAAAGCAGCATTCGACAGCACGAAAAGGAGTTGCCTTTACGCCGCTATGTCTGAATCTTATATACCCCAAACTGACGCTAGACAACACGAGAAGCGCAGTCAGAGACGGGAAAGGACTTCTCCGAGCCGTTCGGTATCAATTAAAGTTTCAGAGAGGGTGACTCCTTGTCGTATGATTTCTTCAATTAGACACTGGAGAAAATATTAATAGTTGCAGAGCTAAATAATAAATAAGAGTGTACAGCTACTGGCGTACGCCGATGATATTAACTTATTGGCTTCAATAACCGCGCCGTGAGTTCTGTTTTCGACAGATTGAATAGGGATGCGAAGGATATCGGTCTGGTAGTGAACGAGTACAAGACGATATATTTTCTGTCATCAAGTAAACAGTCATCGCATTCGCGACACGATACCCAAGTCTCCGTTGACAGTCATAACTTTGAAGCCGTAAATAGCTTCGTTTATCTTGAAACAAGCATTAACACCAAAGAGAATATCAGCCAGAAAATGCAATGGAGAATCACTCTTGCTAGCAAGTGCTACTTTGGACTGAGTATGCAATTGAATAGTAAAGATCTTTTTCTGTGTTGCGACGGCACGAACGATGACAACATCTGATGAATCGGCGTTTGGGGTTTTTTAAGTTTTTTGGTTCCTTGCGAGTTGGAAAAGGCGAATATTGACAAAGTTCAGCGAATCAAGAAGCAGTGGCTATGCTGGCTAGGCCATATGATCCGTATGGCTAAGAATACTTCAGCCTTGGAAAGTTTTCGATGCAGTTTCCACCGGTGAGAGCAAAGGAATAGGAAGACCTCCACTTCGTTAGGAAGTAAAGGAGAAGCGCCTTGTTGGATTGGAAGGATTGAATGGCTCGTGGTTGTTAACTCGGCTTTAATCGCGTAAGAGTGTGTCTACGCCAGACAGAAGAATTGATCTTGAAGTTACTATTTTTAGCTTAAATTATATTTATTTTTGTTTTAATTAAAGCCATTATTTTATTTACCTTTAATTTATATTTATTTCGTAATAAAATAATTTTAAGTAACCAAAATGTGAATAAAAATGAATGCTCGACTCCAATAGAACAAATATTAAGTAAATTTAAAAAAACCTCAAACTGTTTTATTTACAAATCATTAAATTGTCATGAAAATGTTTGAATTGGTAGGCGGAAGAGCCAAGCGCTGAGCAAAGAAATATCAGAAAGCAAAAAAGAACATTTATTGATATACAATTAAGGCATTTGTGGTGGAAAAGCCAAGCGCTGATGCCCACAACTTTGCTTGTGTTGTTTGCCTAAGTCTTTTTTCGTTACCCTGCTTGTATGACTTGTATTCCTTTTCCGTTTTTTTTTCTTGTAAACACCTTAATGGTGAGCGAGAGCTTTTGCTTGAATAAGTTACAGACTTTTTTTTACTATGTTGAGTTGAGTTACGGTATATACGTGAAGGTGTGCGCTTATTTGATGTGGGCTGCAATCTCAAGTGACCGATAATTTTCGGAATAACTAAGCCAACACCAAGGATCAAAAAAAAGAAGAATATATATATATACATAAAGTACATAAAACTGCTAAAATCAGCACTATTTCGGCTAGGAAGGCTTCGATGTTGACACACATACATATACATTCAAGTGAACTGTGCACAAAGTTCAACTAAGTAATAGCAGTATTTGCTATGCACCGGTAGCTGAGTAAGTAAAGAAAACTGAAGTGAAGTAAGTAAATAATCTTAATCTGCTCACCTTTTCGTTTGCCTGGATTTTCCGCTTCCTCACTACCGCCATCGGTCATCTTCGACTGATGATAGAGTTCTGAGCTTTTGACGCGCTTTTTGTTGTTGCCTAAACGTCGCGTAGCATTTGTGGTGGTTGTGTGTGGTATTGCGAGCGATATGAAAATAAATAGTAGTAGACGCAGTTGAGTGAAAAATGGCGAAATAAATTGTACCACTTTTGGTTGAGTAAGAAATGCTTTCAAAATGTAAATAATAAATTTCATTGTGTTTTACTGCTTGTATGCACTGTGGTACAATTTGCTAAATAAGTTAATTCGTGAATATTTTGTTTAATAAATTCCATTTTTTTTTTAAATAAATATGTGGAAATAAAATTTCTTGTTATGGTCAAGAATTTAACTCTATTATAAAGAAAAGGGTTTGCCACTATGTTTTAAAAATGATTTCGGGCACGTGACCGTTGCGCCTGTCGTTCAGCCGAGAGACTTAATTTTCGACCACTTTTCGCTGCTATTGGAGCAATAAATCGGCGAAAACCCGTCGAATATTCTCACGAGCTTATTTCAAGACTTCACAAAGCTCTATATAAAAAAAGTCCAGCGATGTTAAATTCGACCACGTCACAGGCGCAAAAGTTTCCTTCAATTAATTGATTATTTCGTTGGCTGTGTGGAATGTAGCTACGTCGTCTTATTTGAACCAAAGAAAGTCCTCATAAGCATCGTCGAATTCTTTCCCGAAGAAGTCATTAATCGTAGTTCTATTCCCTATCCTTCTACACTGACTGTAACACTGACTGTAACACTATGTACGGCTTAACTTTTGAAGAAATATGAACCGAGGCGTCTCTCTGCCCATAGAGCACACCAGAATTTAACGGCGTCTTAACAATGGCTTTTGAATAATCATCATTCTAAATGCTTCACTTTTGTTTAATAACGTACTCATTCAACCAAGCAGCTGCTGTTGAAATCGGTCGACCCTAGCTTCCGCTGCGAATTTTCTTTTACGGCCTCAATCGAAACAGGTTCCACAGAGTGGTAACTTGATATTTAGAAACAAAAAAGATTGTTCGATGATTTATGGTCGAGTTTATGATCTTAAATTCATTCACAACTACAGCTTGGTACGTTAGCGCATTATTTTCTTGAAATTTTCCGGAAATTGTTGGCCCACAATAACAGCCATTTACGACGGACGTTTCCCGCAAACGCCTAAAAACGCTCAAATAATATTCTTTATTTACCGTCTGTCCGATTGGAACGATTTCATGATGACCCAACGCGCATGTCGAAAAAAAAAACAATTGGATGAACTTTATATCTAAAGGAGTAAAAGGTATTAGGAGGACTCTTGACTCTTTGACCAATGGCGAGAGCTAATACCGATGTGCGACAAAGAAAAACTTGGGTAAAGCCCAGAAAAAAAATTCAGCTTTGAAAAACTACTGTTTCGAAGTAGTCATAGCAAAGGTGATGCTCACGGAGAGGTTGCTACATCAATTTTAATCCACTAAATAATTATGTCAGCTTAGAAAATTAGCACGTAAACAGTCTTGTTTGAAGACGCAAGCCAAACGAAAGCAGATCTAGAAATTTTATTTTTTGGTAAAATGTTGTCTCACCGAGTTAAAATAAGATATGTTAGGGTGACCAACAGCGTATCGCTAATTTCCAAATGCTATTTCAACGATACCAGTGAAACCGGTTTTGCATTATATTATTACTGTTATTGGTCTACAAGTCGATCATCATTCCCGTCCTGCTATATGGTGTGGAATACGGAAAATGACAAATTTATGATCCTCTGTGAGTTGGGAGTATCACCGGCGATAAAACAATGAGCTATACGAATGAAAAGACAGGCGTTACGCTAGCTAAGTCCTATGGCTTAGATGTATAAGTTAACTCCATAAAAAAGTTCTTCAAGTGAAATTAATATGGAACTATCTAATATGAATGGCCAAAGTTTTAACACGGGCCTAAACTCTCAGCAGTTGGACTATCTGAGGGAAGCAGTCGCCCAGATGCGCCTAGCTTTGGCCAACAGAACGGAAATTGTATGTTTTTGTTTTCGAATCCAGACCACACACATTGATAATGGCTCGTCATTTGCTCCGAAGGCTTGATTGGGATGCTACTATGCATCAACTTTACAGTCCAGGCTTCGCTACAAGGGGATCACCATCTGTTCCAATTCATGGCGAATGACTTAACTGGTAAGGAATTGGCTTCATGAGACGCCTTTGAAATTCGATTGTCCGATGTTTTTGATAACAGGGACATGAGTTTCTATGAGTAAGACATAATGGTCTTCATTACCTTCAAAATGGCAAAAAGTTATGAGACAAAACGGTGCCAAGTTGACATAAATCGAAATACTCTATCAATGATAAATGCCGACTTCATAATGCAAAAATAATGGACCACATTTTACTAAGACTCCAGTTCTTACACACTGTACCGTGATACGACTAATTCTTTAACCAAAACCCTTCACAACCCAATCCTATGCCCCTTTCATCTTATGCAACATTGACAGCTGTGTGAGTGTTCGACTGGATGCCTGCCTGGTGGCGATTAAATTTTTTCGCCTGAGTATTTGTTTGAAACCGAAAATAAATAATTTATTTGCCCAGCACTTTTTAAGGCAATGGCAAAGTCTATTCTGCTCATGCACACGCACATACATACGAGTATATACACATACGGCAGTAACTACCAAAGAGAAACACGTTCGCAGTGTCACAAAAGCCGACGTGAAATTGAAAGGGCGTATCGTACGTTACGTTACGTCTCGCCTCATAGTCTCTACGTAATGGCATTGCCACAAATTCAAATGCGAAAGTACACCAACCTTTGGATTATTTGCTTATGCCATATTTATAATCATAAAGAAAATGCAGAAAACAAAAAAAAAAAAAAAATTTAAATTATGCCGAGTGGCTATTACTGCCACCAACAACAAAATCAACAACGTTGAATGGCGTCTACTACTGCGTGGTCGGTAGAGACATTGAAGTATGTCGATTTGCATTTTGCATAGTCTTAGCGCGCCCTCCTCTCTCGCCACACTTACACACATGCGCGAATATACTGAGATATATACACACATATATGTATGTGAAGAAAAAACCATTGACAGTCGTTGGTCAGCGCTGATACTCACCTTTGTAGCGTCCTTCGGCGTTCTCCACATAATTCACAGCATTCGGTGGTATTCCTGTGCGGAAAAAAATTGCAAAAAGAAAATTGTAAAGAATGAAAACTTCTATGGATTAGGCGAAAGAATCACGGCAGGTGCGCGCTTACTCATATAACAAATCATACAAATTATGCAAATAAAAAGTGAGAAAAAATTAAAAAAATTAAAAAAAAAGAAATTATACGCAAAAATTGCGCCGGCATTCCTTTTCAGTATATTATACAATGGGCGTGAATTAAGTTCATTAAAATGCAATTTCACCCCGCTTGCTTCTCAACCCCGCACGCGCTGCACAATACAGTTTTGGAAAATATTTAAATTCAATTACGTCCAAGTGCCGGTGTCTGTGTACGTATTTGATGCCAGCGAAGCAGTTAAATATAATTTTTTTTCGCTATAAATTCGCGGAAGAAAATATGAGCGTGTGAATGACTCAAGCGCCGCGCCATGTTGTTCAGTTTAGGGGTCGCATTCATAGCCACCATTCCGCGGATTATATTTAAGCTGATTTGATCTTGAATAGAAATGCGGCTGAGGTTTTTTCCTTTTTTCATATTCTCAAACCATTTTTTTGGGGCAAATAATTTATCTTTAAATACTTGAAAAGCTACCGCTAGCGCTGATATAGCTTTAAAGTCCTTCGGTTGGCTTGAGATGTGGGCTTGATGCGAGGCTTGCGCTTAGTTTTTTCCATTTTTGCGCGGAAATGTACTACTAAAGCGTTTGGTTTAAGCAGGTGCATAAGTTGAGAAAACGGAATTATTATGCTGAAGAATCAACTTCTCCTGGGAAAGGAAGATATTAATGCAGTTCATAGTCAATTCTTTTCACAGGTTTCAATCCAATACTAACTGAACGATAACTGGCGCACCATGGTACGTGCTTTTTCCATAGAGATATAAACACACGCACCATCAATGAAAAGAGTCGACATTTAATAAGGAACTCTCATTTGACAACATAAATATACTTAAAGTGCTTAACATGAGTGATCGACCGTTTTTCCCAAGGCGATATTGAGATGTTTCTCATGTGAGAACATGGGTTGGCAAACACTGGAGTACGCGCCTGTCGTCGGATATTGTGTATTATGTGGCTCTCCAGGTTATTAAAGACAGAGGTGAGTCACTTATCAGGTGTGCAAGTATGAAACCGGAATTACGGACACATCACGTCAGCGGTGGCTTGTTATTGTATTGATATCCGACAAAGATTTCCAACTTACAATAAAATTAGTTTCATTAAGAAGCATTAGTTTATTAGATATAAACATGTCGAGATTTGTGCCAACAAATTATGAATTGCGGACAGCACTACTTTTCTGCTCTCAAATGAAAAAAACAGCAACCGCATCGCATCGAATTCTGACTGGGGTTGAAAAGTGGATATATTTCGAGAATAAGCACAAAAAGGCATCTGTTACACCGGGTAAATCATCAACATCGTCGGCAAGACCGAACCCCTGCGTACGAAAGACAATGCTATGTGTTTGGTGGAATCAGAAGCGCGTAAGCTGCTACGAGCTGCTGAAACTTGGGAAAAGTGTCAATACTCAACGCTACCGATAACAAATGACCGATCTGGATCATGCAAGGTGATTTTGCTGCATGACAATGCACCAGCACACAAAGCAAAACAGGTTGTGAGATTCTTCAGTGCGCGACTTACTCACCGGACCTTGCCCCATTCAATTACTACTTTTTTTGCATCGATGGGATGCGCACTTGATGAGCAGCGTTTTACTTCTTGCGAAGATGTACGAAAATGGCTCGGTGCCTCAAAAGAGCGCTGAGTCCACAAATTGCCAGAAAGATGGGTAAAATATATACAGGCACAGATAGCAACGGACAATGCTTTGAATAAGTTCATCAATTATATCATTACAGCAAACGTGTTTTTTTCTGTGCGAAAATTCCGGTTTCATACTTACACACCTGGTATTAATTACATACCAACAGCTAGTTTATTACTATTTGAAGAGGTTTGTGGAATTTTCCCTCTTCTGTAATAGATAGCTAGAGAGACTAGAAACTGGTATACACAAGTGATATAAGAAACAAAAACAGCACTGGTGCAGGAGAATAAAAAAAATGCTGTTAAACTTATTTGGATCGTATACAAACACAGAATTAGAGACCCTAAGAATGCTCAGAGAGACCAAAATATATTTATTCAAAGGCTTTTGCTCTCGTTGGCTAATCTACGCACTATTCTCTCTAAGTCGCTCACTCTCATAGTTTTTTGAAGGCAACATTCGCTTTCACTCTTCGAAATCCAGCATGCAAAGAGCAAATCATTAGAAACTGCACCATACAGATACATTGAAAACGAATACTCAGAAAGAAACATTTTCATTTTCAGTATCAGTGTGGCATCAGCAAATCTATGTGCTCAGTTATGACACACACTGATAACTCAGAAGGCTGAATGGAAATTATTGTCCTTTCAGTTCATACTCCTCCTCACAGATAATTAGAGAACAGTTCAACGTTCGAGGCAAAGTAAAACCAAATATATCTGCCTGATGTAAATTTATAGGCCTCTCGTCATATAAATGCGTAGAAGTTTAAAATAGTTTATGGAATTAATTTATAGACATTTCAAGCCAAGGTCGGAACAAAACTTATTCTAAAGTAGATCTTAGAAAACTTTGGTTGTAATAGGACCGGAAAAGATCACACGATTTAAGCTCTAAAAAGAAATGAAAAGACAATTGGGATTTTTAAGTAACATCACCATATAAGATGGATGAAGACATCAGGATTGAGTGCTCCTTTTAGAAAGAGAAGATCAGCAGAAATGACGAGGAGGAGAGGATGAATTTCTCAACTGGCGAAAGCTTTAACCTTACCCAACTCATTTATGCATTGTTCACCTATTCATTGTCATTTACAGTAAGGACTTTGGAAAAGTGTTTAAATGAAGTTAAAAAGAGTCATAATAATATTAAAAAATAATAGTATTAAATTATTAAAACTTACTATACAACTTAATGGTGCCATCGGTGTCGCCCAATGAGTTTTTTGCCACACAACGATAAGCTCCGAACTCTGCTTGTGTCAATAGATTTATATGCAATTTCATTGAGCTGCGATATTCACCAATTTCTGTAACGTTCGATGTATATTTGCCACCTGAAAGAGAGTTTAAAAATATAAAAATAAAGAATTATTATATCGTGTTTTAATCTCGAACATTTATATTTTGGTATTTTGTATGGGAATTAAATAACGGTCACAAATACATAGAGTTAAAAAATAACTGCTACCTCTGTCTATACATTAAGACCAGGAAATTTTGGGATATCGTTGTTTCTTCCGATATTCGCGGTTCGGTTCATCATGAATTCGATCCGACGGGACAGACGGTCAATAAAGAGTATTATTTTGGACGTCGTAAATGTTCGGAGTTGAGTCATCGCACCGAGCTGTAGCTGTGAAGGATTTCAAAACTCAAATTATAACTCCGTGGAACCCGTTTCGACTCGATTGAGCCGTAAAAGAAACTTTCATTCCTTAATGTATGTAATATATCTTTAGATATAAAAATCTTATGCTCATTTGTAAAGAGCTCAAAAAAAACTATGGCTTTTTGCTTAGATTAACAGGGAGACCATAGTCTTTACAGGAAATGGCCAAACAAAACAAACCCCTGGTCACAGGTCACAATGACATCGAGGGAAACTGTTAGGCAGATGAACTTGCTAGGCGAGGACCGACCAAGCAAATTCTTCTCGATAAAGAATGAATTGGTATGCCTTTTTCTACATGAAAACTGCTTCTCAAGGGATTCATCTATAAACAAGGCGCTACAAGGAGGAATGACATTACAACCTACCGCAAAATCAAGCACACATGGAGAAAAGAAGAGATTCCGAGATATGCAGTCTTAAAAAAAATGGTGGCATATCCAAAGTTGTAGGAATTCTGACAGATCAATCTATTGTCTGATAGGTGCCACGCAGAAAGCCTAGGGGATCCCTAAAGAAGATGCTGCTAAAGCTGCTAGAAGGATGAAGAGAAGATGATCACCCATCTCTTATGCGACTGTTTTGATCAGGACGAGGTTTCATAATTTGAGGGACCCCAGAGCTTGATGGTCTACCGAAGATAGCGGACGTCAAAGTCGTGGATCTAATGAGGTTCATTAGAGAATTAAAATGGATGGAATATGAAGCCTGATGGTTTAAGTTTTTGTGGTATCACAATAGACTTGACAGATCGGTTGTCATTTCAACCGAACCTAACCAAATATGGAATACTGCTAATCTCTCTCTGGGCAGTGGATCAGGAACTGATCTATTCGAAAAAATCATACTTATTGTTCGATTTACTTGAAACTCTATTTATAGGTGGTTCAAACCTATTACGAAAATGTAGACACGTTTTATGCTTCAAGAGGAGATGTTTCAACTATTTAGCAAATTTAAAGAATTTTGATAAAACTGGATCGGTTGCAGATGTTGCAAGGCCTGTGGATCATCGCTTTGCTCATTACACCTCAGATATCGCTACTGTGAGTGAAAAAGCAGCTAAAGTCCCGAATGTGACTATTTCCCGACGTTCTCAAGAGCTGGGACTTTCTAATGACACACTGTGGCGTCTTTTGCACTTGGACATCTATATCCATATAAAAAACCAGCTTGAGCAACAACAGTGGACGGCGATTTGTCAAACAAAATTTTCTTCAGACATATATCTCACTCGGGGGATACGGAGATAAGTATACTAGTCCCTTTTGGAGAACCGAGAATCCTCAAACAAATAAGGAGAGGCCATTACACAAAAATGTCAAAGCTGGACAGTGGCAGAGGTCGTGCTACGCGAAAGATCGTGTTTATGTGGATAAAATTTGAATTCTTGAGCACATAAGAACCCACATTCGTGAAGTTATGTCTAAGATGCCACTCAATATGTGCCAGAAAGTAGTTGAAAATTACCTCAAATGGATTGAGGTTTGCGAAAATTCCCGAGGCGGGCATTCGAATGAACTAGCGAACTGTACATATTAATGGATCGTTTTAGTTAAATTTTTGTGTGATATGCCAAAATAGTACTTTTAGATCAGAGACCTTGTGTTTTGTATCGTACTTTGTACTAAAAAATTGAAATAAAAGTTGGACAAAACACAGAAAACCACAGCAACGTGAGGCAGGGTCAGGAAGTTTTCTGTATATACCTTTATGCGTTTAGAGTTTATGCAACAAATATAAATTTACACAAGCGAAGGTTAAAGAGAAAATACCTAAAATAAATTTAAAGTAAAAAAACAAGGTTAAAATACCTAATGCTGGAAAATTCTTTAGGTCTACATTCATATGTTTGCTGAGCAACCTGCATACATTTGCATGTAAGGACATTAGCACCAATTAAAAGTCGCTACAAAAATGTAAATTAAATTATTAGCATTTAAGCCGAGCGTTTTTACCGTTCTTTGCTCTCCACTGAATTTTTTTGAAGCTCTTTATTTTTTCTATTTCCCACAGGAATGTTTCATATAATTTTGTTTTTGCTTTCCACGGTCAAATGCGTTCAGGTTACTAAAGGTTTAACTTGGCTTATAACCTTCGCAGCCAATGTACAAACTGATTGGAAAGTAGACAAAAAATATATTTTTGTCTATGAGATTTTTGTATGTATTTTTTCTTAAGAATATTGAATGTAATATATTTTGTATTGTGCAAAAATTTTTTTAATATATGTGAGAAATAACATAACCAGACTTAAAGCAATTTTCCATTTAACGAAATATCTGTCCGAGTGCCTGCAGGTATATCTTAGTGTTCTTATACTTGTATGAAAATATTAGTGCATACATATCTACATATCTATATCCTCCGTCAACCAGAGTAACCACAAAAACTAAGATAAAAAAAAATCAGAAAATAAAAATCATAAAACTAACGTTGCCGTGATTATGCAAAGGGCAGACTAGTTAAATGCACGAGAATGTGCATAACTTTCGCATATATACATAAGCACATTTATTTACGTATAAATAAATATGCAAATATGTATGTATATATGATTACGTATGTACAGCAAGAGCATTAATGCAGCCACTGAAGTGCAGCCAGCATTAATAGAGTTGCTACAAAAATGAATACCAAAAACTCCACTGTTGCCATTTTGAACTTTGTTTTGTATTTGTTGTGCTGTCTGTATGTTTTTGGAATCTCCAAAAACTTTTCAGTTAAATCAGTTAATTAAAAAGTTAGGTTAATACTCAAGCCGGGACGGTAGAGAAAATGTTTGTTACATTTTTATGCTAGACGCTTATTTATGGTAACCTTCAATTAGTAGAGATGAAGAGGGTTTAACAGTTACGACTTATTCTGAAAAATAGTTTTTTTTTTTTATTATGTGTGAAGTAAATTTTTGAGCCGCCTAGATGTGCAAGCTCATTTTCTAGACAAGACTATGCAAAACTTAACTCTCTTAGTTATCGTTTATACCGATTTCATCCTATCATCGAAGATAAGTTCATAAAATGTCGTGCGGTCTGTCAAAGAATTTTTAACCTTTACGAGGTCTGTCTTTTATTATGTCCGGACTTGCAGCCCTAGTATCTCAATCTCTGACTGTTTTGAAGTCATACATACTCAGAGGGTGTTAACATAACAGCGCTATTTAAGTTGTTAGCGTCAGCTTAACACATTCATCTCGACCAAAAAATGGGATTTAATTGCGAACATCTTCCTGCTATTATTTTTTCACAATCTTCAATGTGGGTTAACTCAGAAGAACTGCATCGATGAACTTAATTCAATTTGTGGCTTTAAAGTGGTATCTAGGATCAGTATTTATCCAAAACGAATTTTGTGCAGATCGTCCAAAATCAGTTGTTGTTCCGGAAACTATTGGCGCTGTACGCAAACTAATATTGCGCGATCGACATACGTGAGCTTGAGCCAGCTACAGGCATTATTGTGACCAGCTTGCATTCAATATTTAATGAGCATTTGAATGTGAAAAAAATTGGTTGACGTTGGTTTCCACACAATTTGTCAGTCGCTCGAAAAAAAGGCTGGCTTAGATTGTTGAATAGAAATATTAAAAAACACTATAGCGACGGTTCGAAACATGTTTATGACATCGTAACTGCTGTTGACTCATGGATTTGCGAATACGAGTGTGAAAGTAAAAAACAATCGATTGTATGATTGTTTAAAGATGTATCGAATACAAAAGAAGCTGTTCGTGCACAAAGCACTTCAAAAAAAAAAAAAAAAAAAAAAAAAAAAAAATGGTTTCCTGTTTCTTTGGGAAAACTGGACATATTGCAGAAATTTCACTAGAACAACGCATAAAAGTAAAATTTGAGTGATGCACAATCATTTCTTTGTCAGTTGTTTTGCAAGATATCAGGACAGTGCGAGCTCTCACACATCGGCGGAAATCATTGCTTATTTGAGTACCCAAAGCAGCGATTTTATGAGTCATCCACAATAGAGGCGGTTTAGTTGGCAAAAGGCTTCGACGATTGGTTCCAACGCAGGCAAAAGAGTACAGATCTGATGGGGAATATTTTCAACAACAATAAATTGATTTTTTATGATCAGTATTTGTTATTTGTTAATCTCTAATTCCGAAATATAATATACAATCCTTGTATTGTACCTCATATGATTCTCTTATGTCCTGCTTTACACACTTCATCCTAAGTGATTACAATAAATCTAGAAATTATAGAAGAATGTTTTAAGAACCATACACAGACAGACAATTCTGAGTGTTTTATAATATATAAATATAAATTGAAAAGAGAGTGCCGTATTAAACCCTTGCAACGTACCTGACTACTTGGTGTAGCAAGCGCAATGAAGATTATCTTAACAAAGGCTAAAAGTCATCCTTGAAATTAGGAAAATTAACATACAAGCTATGTATAGAGCAGTGCCAACCGCTAGCCCCTTCAGGGCTGCGCAGTGTTGGGTCCAGTCCCCAAATTGTGTGGGACATGGTGATGTTTGGAAATTTATATCGGAAATCGGGCGAAACGTAAAATTAGACCGGAAACACTCTGCGAAGTAGATGACGAAAGGCAGGTCCATCAGTATTAATGAAGATATCCAAATCAATACCGAGGGTTCTAAATGTGCATCAGCTTATACTAAGCCGTCTCCGAACGGCTGCTGGTTTTTTATGAGGAGCTTTAATTCATGTCAGAAAGACACTCGGAGGGGTAGACATTTGAAACCGAGCATTTCGAATGGCAGTACGCAATGGTAACCACTTGGCTACCGCGGACGCAACGAATACAATTCAACTCAGCTATTTTTGAGGATAACATAGAAATCTCACTACTCTTTGTCTTTGACGCCTTATGCCGCATTTAGCTTGAATTTCATTGTAAATTTAATCTGTGTTTCATGAATATGAAATAAATCTACCTCCATTTTGAAAAATGTAAAAATACGTATATATACATAAATACTTGGAATATTTATTTTTATAAATTTTCATTTTTTAAATTCATTTTTTTCTACCTTTTTTTTTATTGTTATGCAATGTGGCAACATTTCTGACTTTGGTTATTACGGTTATGTGGTTGTGTTAATGATTTCATATGTAACTTTTTTTTTGTGAACAATTTTAATTATTTGTTTTCCATATGCGAGAATCTATCTCTCTCTCTCTCTCTTTATCACTCTCTATCGTTTTGTGTTGAGTGCATAACTTGTTTTGTTGTTTTGTTGAGGTGTCAACGTGTGGACATTTGCGGTGTGGCATATATGTATAAACTTTTTGCCACATTGTCTTGACAGTGATTTTAATTAGTTAAATCAGTGTTGGCACATATTTTCTGAAATCGTTGAGCGTACATTCATTTATGATTTTAATTAAGTTTGTAACTTGACTTGTGGCATAGTTAATTGGCATGGAAAAAAGCTTACGGTAAAATGATTGCAAATAAAAGTTGTATTTATTGGAAAAATGTGAAAATTTATGATGCTCTGCAAGCAGGGCCACCTTTTTATTTAAAAGGAAATAATTCTTGTTGCTAGGCCAATTACCGGATGTTTTCAATCACCTCTTTACAAAATATGTTTTGATTTTAAAATTAAATAAATATTAAAAATAGTGTGGTTAAGTTTTTTTGTTCTCACCTGGCGGCACTATATCACCTCGTTCTCTCGTCCAGTAATTAATTGACTTTGGAAAGGCTTCAGATTGGCATTCCAATGTAACGCCTTTACTTTCCACTGCACCAATAAGCTGATTTTGTACCGTTATCATTGGTGGAACTGAAAAAAATAAAAAAATATATCTACATAAAATAATTATTTCTAAATGATATCTGAAAATTAATATAGAATATCCATTATTGCAAAATATGTTTATATTTGAGTTTACTTATCGGGTTTTTCTTCTCTGATATTATGCTTGGATATTGAGTTTTATTCTATGAATTTCGTGCTCTGATCAGCGCTAATTTTTTTTGGTGGAATACGAGTCTACTCTGGGCAATTAAGATCTTGATTTTCTTCTTTTATCTATAATGGTAGGTAACATAGAATTGACTCAATGTGAATTAACAAAGTGAAGCTACTACATCTGTCCTCCTAACTGTCTGCAAGCTAGTCCCTACCCTATCGAGAATAAGTATTTTTCGGAACCGATCAGATGAGACCACCTTGATATATACATTAAGACCAGTAAGTTTCCAGAAATTATTTGTTTTTCGATATAGACGGTTTGGTTCATCATGAATTCGTTTCAATGGATTAAACAATCAATAGAGATTATTATTTGAGTATCTTAAGGCGTTTGTGTGAAAACAGCCGCCGTAAACGATTGGAATTGTGGGCCAACTCATGGATTTTTCACCACTATAATACGCTGTCGCACCGAGCTGTAGTTGTGAATGGTTTTAAGACCAAAAACTCGTTCAATACCTGCGATCAACCACCATATTAACCGGATTTCGCCCAATGCGATTTTTTTGTTGTTTCCAAAACGCTCATTTTTCGCATTTTAATTTATCACAGTGCTACCAACATAACAAAAAGAAGTGCTGAAAAATATTCAGCGCGGGCAGTTTAAATGACAATTTCCGGTGACTAGTCTTAAATTAGATCACAAACAACAAATTTTTCTGATATGTGATTTTGGTTCACCAAGAACACTGAACTTGGTATTATATGCATCCATATATTAAGAGTTACCCTACAATATGAAAATTATTGATCTTGAGAAAAAGGAAAATAACCAAAGTTATTTCTAGCGAAAGTGTATACGTCTGCCCATCTCTAGTAATTTTCGAGTACCGTCTCTAAAAAGTTCATCCTCTTTGTCCTTACCGCAATCATTAGGCCATTTTTCGATTTCTTCGAAAAACCCTGTGGTCACCGGTCCCAAATAGTTTCGCACCAGTCAAAAAAGCAGCCAACGGAAAGATCATGATCTTGAGAATACGGTGGCTGGAGTAAGATCTCTCATTTCAGCTTTTCCATTACATAAAATCAGCTTACCACACAGGATACGGTCTTTGATCCGGAGGTATGATTAGACCTTACTTGCCTGAGAACGACTTTTTTTGACCAGCAATCGAAGACAACGAATTGTACAATATGTGGATTCAACAAGAGGGTGCCAAATGCCACACAACGAGAGTGAGTACGGCTTTATAGAGAGTGAATTTTTTTACCTACCGAAATCGTACGATTTGACACCGTTAGAGTTTTTTATGGGGCTACGCGAAAGGCTGTCGTTATGCAGATAAGCCTTTATGCGGATATGGTGTATGGTTGACTAGTTTGTTTATTGAGTTCTTTTAATAATAAAATTCACAAAATTAAAAATTTTTATACTTACAGTGCACAATCAGCGTTATGCGTTTGCTCACCGATGGTGGCACACCATTCGATGCTATGCAAAGGTAAGCACCCATATGCTGACGCTTCACTCGTGGCAGTACCAAATTTACACCTTCAACACTGAGCACTGCAACAAAAAGGAAATAATTGTTAATTACTTACAAATACATTAGACAACTGAATCAATGTTCAAATTAAACAAAAAAAATTGTCAGAAATGAAATTATTTACAATTTTATTTATTTATTTGAACAGAAAGCAATAGAAAAATTTGTTTAAAATTACTAAATTGTCAGTACCAACGCTCTGAGGAACGGACCAGCGCATTGCCGAGTCTGCAAAATACTTGGTGCTCATACTGGACAAGAAACTGAGCTGGCCAGGAGAAAGGTGCGTACGGCGTCCACTGACTTTTAGACCTACAGGAAATGGGGCATGCGTTGGCTGACATCGGTTAGACCTATACTTCTCTATTGGGTTGTTGTCTGATGACCAGTAGTTGAGAAAAAAGTCAATCATCTCCAAATGCTGCTGGCGATGCATTACGGCTACAAAAGGTGTTCGGCCATACTAGCATCTTAAGAGCATCCATCTCCAAAAAAAACGGATTACCGCTTATCATTCATTGCCTTAACATCAGATTTCAAGTTGGTTATCCCGGATAGAAACCTTTGGGACAGGACAGCAAGCGCCGACTCGGCTCATTTTTGTACGGACGGGTCAAAACTTGATAACTGTGTTGGTGACGGAGTCTACTTAAAGGATCTTTGTGTCTATAAATCCATTCGCTTACCGGATCACTGCAGTGTTTTTCAAGCGTAATTGGTGGCTCAAGGGTGCTCTCAGAAAATCGGATAGCCAGACTTTATTACGAGCCTTGGAGTGTGTAAAAGTAAAATCTGAAATCGTAGAGGACTACCGCAGATTGCTTATCGTGATGGCTAAGCAGTTCTCTCTGAACCTTGTATGGGTACCTGGACGGTGTATTGAGCTGGGGGACGAGCTTGCAAGGAAGGGAACTTCTCTTCCACTATTGCCATCATGGAAGTGCTTGGGTATGCCGCTCTCTACTTGTAAGCTCAGTGTAGAGATAGAGAGTGTTTCGCTAAGGATGCTAATTTAAGATGGAAAGGTCTTAATGGATTGAAGTGGCCAAAGCATTATGACCAAAATGGAACGGAAGAAGTTAAAGAGGTAGGAGATATCTGCAGTTCTAGTAGCCGTTCTCATAGGGTATACCATCTAACGATTTTTGTAGAAGTTTGCAGAGTAGGTCTATGGGGTCGGCAAACAGTAGAGACCTGTTCGACATAGCGGCTGCCGGAATGCGTCGACTGCTCAGCTTTGTAAACTTTACACACTGGTTTGATTAGATGGCAGGGGTATAAGGATCCGCAGTGGTATTATAATGAGCCCATTTGGGGTCTAGCTGAACTGATGCCCAACAAACCCTTCATCCAACCAACGGAGAATCAGTTTCCATCTTATGTATAATGTATTCGTTGATTTATGTAAATATATATTCTGAAAACTCATAAGTACATACATACCTATGTCTATACAACCCTAAAAAGCAAAAATCACCTTACACCCAAATAATAATAAAACAACAAAAATTATAAATGTATTGCAATATAATAAAATTAACCCAAATTGTCAAATTTTAGGTTGATGTTGTCAGCTGTTAGGCTGCCATAAAATTCACATGCAGAAAGCCGACCATTTGCTGCTGGTTAGTTTGTTAAGCTTTTTATATGAAATTTTCAAGCCCACAATAAAATGAGACTCACGTGCGATTATTAGACCATTTTATTGGGCATAAACATATGTATGTGTATGTGTATTTACCTGCACATGCATGCAAACACATTGAAACATTCAAATTATTCGTTAGTTTCCAACTAACGTCTGTACATTTGGTTGTTGTCATACAAATTTGAAAATATAATTTTTTTCATCGGCAAGGCAATATGAAAAGGCAAAAACAATAACTGTAAAACAAGTGCATTATAATGGCTATAATAACAGTTGGCATAGTTTTAGCCAAACAATAAAATGCACCAACATTCATGCCTTAGTATGAACATGCGAACAAATAATATTTATATATGTATATACATACAGACAAAGAGCATTGAAATCCATTTAAATGAGTGCAATGAGTGGATTATGTTTTGCTAACAAGTTTACATACAAATACAAATACATACAGGAATTTAGTACTTTGCTTTTTAGCATATTGCGGCACACATTTGCACTTACATGAATGCACACATACATACAAATATATACATATAATGTGGGTGAATATACGCATGTGCAATGCATGTGTTTGTATTTGTGAGCTTTATGGCGACTAAAGCCAACGAACTTCGCCTTGTTTTGTACTGAATTTTTTTTTTTTTTGAGTGCACTTTGAATGAGACAAATTCGTATGCAGATTTCGTAAATCTGTGGCAAATGTGTTATTAAGCACTTGCGGCAAGTATAAAGACAATTATAATAATCGAAATTACAAAAAAAGGATTTCCAAAATGACATGGAGAAGGTGTGGTTCTCCGTATTGTTCAAACACTTGTTAATCCCAAAAAATATATATATATATAAACAGTAACAACAACAATTAAAAATGATTAAAAAGCGGCCGCAGTAGCCGAGTGGTTAGAATTGCGTACTTCCATTCGGCAGGTTCGGGTTCAAATCGGGAAATCCAAAAACTTAAAGAAAATTAATTAAAAAAAAAAAAAAAATAAAAAATTAAGTTAAATTTTCTAATTGCGGTCGCCCCTCGGCAGGGAGTGACAACCACTTCGAGTGTATTTCTGACATGAAATAAAGCTCCTCGTAAAAAAACCATCAGCCGTTCGGAGGTGACTTAGTAGAAACTGTAAAAGGAGGGGCCTTTTCTTGGAAAAAATCAAGATGCAAAACTACAAATTGGAGAAGCTGCTTGGCGGAAAATCGCTTCAGTGGTTATAAAGTGCCAATTATGTATATAGTAGAACATATCTTAAATTACTATTCACTCATACAATGACAGGCAAGGATCAAAGAAACGCAAAACTAAGCTCATAATTTTTTAAAAATTTTAATAGTTCTCTTTTATATATTGTCAAATTCAGCAGTCTAAATTGAAATTTCTGCAAAAATGACTTGACTAAAGAAATTTTCTTTTCATAACTCTTTCACCGAAGACAAACGAATATGGCTAAATCAACTAAGCATGCATTGCTAAACCGATCGGTATAATCGGTGGTGGGCCTTTCTCTTATACTGTTAGTGTTTTCACATATTCATGAAAGTTATACAAAATTAAAAAAAATAAAACAAAAGATTAATTGAGGAAGAGCACATTGCTTATCTTTATTTTAATGCGTTGATTATTGGAAAAGTGAGGTTCAAACTTAAGTCTTAAGGGTAAAGCCCCTGTAGAGGTTGAAAAATAGAATCATTTTTAAAAACTTATTGTAGGAATATGGGAAAAGGAATAGAATTTCTACTTAACCATTACATTTAATATATATTTGAAGTAAGAAAAATATTATTTAATTATTCTTGATACAAGCACTAAGTGAACAAAAAAGCTTGGTTGTTATACCGCATGACCGATTTCTTCTAAAGAATGAGACCTAGAACAGAAAAGCAAAATCTCTTATGATCTACAAACTATGGTCTTCGGAAGAACATGCGGATTTATTTTTTATCCAGTTTTTGTGAAAACGGTACACTTTTTTTTTTAAAAGATTGACATTTGACTAAAAAATACTCACTAAATTATTAAAAACAAAAAGTTTACAGTTAATCGGAAAGTAGCCAAACATCATGTATTTGTCAAGCTACATCAAAATTTCAGAAAAATCGGTGCATTGGGATCCGATTAATCTGTCCATCCAGTTTGAAAAATGTGGTTTTGAGAAAAACGCATTTAAAATTTTCATCGTACTTAGTGCACGCACTGAGGGGTTGCAAAATAAGAAGGTGAACTATTTGACAAATTTTTTCACTTCCAAAAACCATTTCTAAGACCCAAAGGTAACCTGTGAGCAAATAAAAAAAAAATGCGGTCTCCAAAATCCTAGATTGACATTACCCCTTAAGTGCCGGCATGTGGGCTGACTGACACTTTCGGTGTAAGACAAGTTAGCTTCTGAAAAATATATAAAAATGCCGTGAAAAATATCTCATTATTTTCTAATTTCAGATATGAAATTAAAAAAAAAGAGCAATTGAATGCTATGTGGCTCGTAGGTTGCATCTAATTGAAATTAAAAAAAACTGAAAAATACAGAATTTTTAGATATTTAATTTTTATGGTGGGTATTTACTTCACTTCCGTAAAACCAACTTATTTGCATTAAATAAAAAAATATCGATTTTACTTTTAAATGGCGTCGCCCACAATAGACCGCAATCGAGTTTCCTGCATCACACCAAATTTAAACAATCAAAAATCAAATGTTGTAAAAACTTTCTGTAACACCAATTTTCTCAACTAAACCGCGTAAGCCACACCACGGACAAACAACAGCAACAACAATAAAAATAATAACAACAAGGACAAATTAGTAATAGCCAAAGTTGGAAAGAGTTCTACAAATAAGAAAATAACTGCAAATGAAATAAAAAAGTTGGCACAAAAACAAATAATATTGTTTGAAAAAAAAAGTTGTAATAAAAATAATAATAATGAAAATAATAACAACAGCAAGTACGAGTTTTGCAGACATTTTTAAGCCGCGTGGAAGGTCACTATGCCCACATTTCCCCATTCAACACAGCGTTAACTTTAGCTAAGTACCGTTATACCGTATGTATGAGTAGTGTATATTAGTACTGTTAGTCCAAAACCGCTTTTGTAAGCACCACAAGCAATATCCTTTGCCCTCGCTGTACTTTACCGCTATAGCGAGTTGTTGGCCGCTTCGCCGTCACTGTTGGCTGTCGTCATCAGCTACCTTCCGTCACTCCAACGTCTATTGCATTTCGCTCGTAATACTTAAGTATTCTGGTGAATTTTTCACATTCGATTTACAGCGTTACGTGTTGCGGTTCAGATTCTAGTACTCCCCACTATGACTCAATACTCTACGTCTACGTCGTCGACTACTTCGTTGTTCGTTGCCTCGAGTTTCGGTTGTGCTGTGTGCTTATGTCTTCTACCCACATTCACCTCATTCGCTGCTGTAGTTTTTTACTACTTTTTTCAGATGTTCGCTACCAAATGCAAGTAATTTTGAGCTGCTTTGGTAATGGTCAAAAAAGTTTCTTGCATTTTGATTGTGCCGTTATGTGTGTGAGATGTATGTATATATTGCCTTTGCATGATGTGAAAAAGCGCACAGTTATGCGCGCCAAATGCCAGTACAACTGTGGTCCTTTTGAAGTAGTGCCAGTAGTGGCAAAGGGTGATTTGTTTGGAGAACATTTTTTAAAGGTTGAGTTTCTTCGGTTAGTTGACTGAAAGAGAAGGTACACGTATGTAAGTTATAGAGCAAGCTCATTGTGCTCCCTCGCATAACCTAACATTACTGTTGCGAATATTTCGCTCGATTAATTATGGTAGGATCTGTGGCCACCGCGAAAGATGAAGGCGCGGCACTCGCATATGTAATGCTCCAGCGTTTCGTCTACTTCTTCTTCACTATGTCTCCTTCCCAGACCCGTTGAGTGTTGGTGACTCAGATATATGAGTGTGGGAACGGGGTTAGTGACTGTTCAGCGCAATAATTTTAACAAACCTCAGGTAACTACATCAGGCCACGTCTCCACCGTTCCATCAATATAAAGATCACGTTGACAGTGCCAAATAAATTATTTATTCGACCACATGTTGTCCAAACTTCTACCCTTCGACACATTTTTTATACTTTTTTTAACCAAGTTCCAGTAATTTCTTTCTTACCAAATACCATGGCATCAAGAGTGGTGAGAGGGAAGCATCGAAAGTGAAATTCAATGAATTCTAAGTTAATCCAAAAGTTCGCAGTGAGTATTTAAATTCCGTCTTTTAGCCAGTGACATATACCGCGATGTATGGGTTACACAATTCAAATGATTTTACATGAGATTTTTTGGTCGGCTGTACGAGTATATGTAGTGACCGATTCCAGTGTGACACCGCTATGAGGACAAACTATTCCAGGGTTAGTGCAACTACTCTGAGATTTAATTCAAAGCGCCCTTGCCGGTTACCTTCAGGCTCAACTCTATCGAAATCGTACAGGTAAATGATGGGACATCTTCCGGCATGTCAAGCACGTCCAGCTACTTTTTTTGTGCACTCAATGATCGGTTAACTCCAGGACATTTAAAAATTTAATGACAGCTCCAGGTGAGCGAATATCAGAATAATAGCTATGGATTTTCATCCACCTCAGTAATGAACTATACTAAAGTTTACGATTTATGGAGTAACAGCATTAGCTTCAACTATAACTCACATGGCGAGAGTTTGGGGAAATATCACGGTATCTATGATTTAGTCTGAAGTAGAAAACTTTAGACTAGTATTAGGAAGAAGACATCGAGTATCAAGCGTTATTCAAGACGTACACCATTATTATTATCAAAATTAATGCTCGATGAAGAAATCCTATGATGTACTTCTTCTTTTCACCAAATTTGCATTACTGGCAAAGCACCAACACTCAAAAGTAGAGAAAATATCGCTTCTGTAGCCGCCAGTGTTAGAGATGATGGTAAATTACCGATTCGGCTTCGGTGCCCATCGCAAAATTGGGCTTCTTGTGTTCTACTGTGAGTAAGATTTTTCCGAAGGATCTAGCAAATATTACATATTTGTAGTGAAGAATCATAAAAAAAGCCACTGTATGGTGTGCATTATTAGCCGGCAACATCATTGGATAGAACTTTTTCATAGACGACGATGGTCGGAACGTAACTGTGGACGACGAGCGCTACCGTGCGAGGATTGATTGATTTTATAATTCTTTTTAACAAAAAACCGAAGCGCTGGACATGATACCAGACATGTACAGAACGCGAAACAATGACTCCGCCAAGAGGCGAGCTGAGTAAGCAGTTTATATCACGTTTAGGATCGGAGGTGATTTAACGGCTGTACAATAAATTTTGTAAAGGTAAGGCTCATATCCATAGCCAGAAGTCGGCACGATTAACGCACTGGAAGTCCATAGGAAAGAACTTATTTGTGAGATACCGCCCGGCATATTGAAAAGAATATGTTAAAATTGGACCCGACGTATGGACCATTTGCATTACGAGCGCAGGGAAATCATTTTTAAACATTTGATTATATCAAAATGCTTAGTAACTTTTTTTTCGAAAATCGAATACAAAAGCTTTTGAAATATAGACTTTCTAAATTACTGACAATCAGGATTTTGATTAGATCAACTTCTCATTTTCATTATTATCTATATCCACCAAAGGCACCCTATATTCAAATTGACTTCAACTTTACTGCATTCGTCTACACGTGGGCAATTGAAACCACATGAACCTTGCAATATTTCAACGTAAAAACCAACCCACTCAGTCATACAGTCATTCACCCCAGCTGCCTACCATAGTCAGATGCAACATATAGAAACTAAAGAGTCGCTAGATACGATTATGTACATAGATATGTATGCCTCTATATAAAATTGGTACGGTACTTACCCTCGGTACCGTTGGCCAATTCGATGGCTACTCCATTTTCACGTCGCCATGTAATTGTCGGCTCTGGTGAGCCCGTTGCCGCACATTTGAGCGTCACATTACTACCCTCGCGTACGACCATATCCGTGCTGGTGGGATAATCGAGGATATCCGGCGGGACTGTAGTGTAGAGGTGCGCGAATGAGCGATAGTATAGAGCGTTGGAGGTAGAAATGATGAGGGAAATTGTGGGAAAACAGCAGGTACGGGCGCAAAAAAATAAAACCGCAAATGTAGTGAGACAAGGAAGCAGATGATGAAACGTAGTAGATAAGTGTTGGATGCATGGAAGTGCAGTTGAGTTCCGGATGGTGGAATGTTTGGCGATTGTAACGATTTTTTAGCATTAGAACGTTTGTTGATTTTGTTGTTTCGATGATGTTTTGAGTTGTGTATTTCATTTTGTTTTTTGTTTCGCAAATTTCCATATGTATGTGTGTGTGTTAATCGGTGTTGCAGTATGGCGAGGCAATAGTTTTATGTTTGTGTGTGAAATTTTATTTTTATATATATTATATTTTTTCAAACATTTTTTTTTTGTTGTCGTTATACAAATGCCGAAAAGTGAGCAAGTATTCACGTTAAAAAAAGCATAGAAAAAAATTTAAACAAAATATTTTTTTTTCAGCAAATTTAGTTATTTTGTAAACGTTTTGTACATGTTCATGTTTATGTACATGTGATTCATTTAAAATGTTCACGAGAATCGACAAGGCGAGTGAATCATAAAATTTATTTCAACATTTTCAATCATTTCGTATTTTTTCATCATTTTTTTTTTCGTCAACATCAGCGCCACAAATTATTTAGTTACGGTGGTGGGTAATGTTGTTATTGCATGTTAACCATTATATACATTGAATTTATTTTAGTTATATATTTTTTTGTTATTTTTGTGTGTTGATTATTTTTTAGCAAAGCGATGGTTGTGATAGCCATCAGTGGATGTTAATATGGTGTGGTGGCATGATATCAAGTGTGTGTATAGCGTTTGAAGTGTGGGCGTTGCAGTTGTTTTTGGCATCGAATACGGTATGATATTGTGTTGTTGTTATTATTATTGTTGCATGTGGCAGACATTGTGATTAGCGGTCATTTTCATTTGTTGTTAGCAATTTGATGATTTTTGTTTTTGTTATTTAAAAATATATAAAATAAATTAGTTTTATTTTATTTTTGAATTAATTAATTTTACATTTTATTTCATTTTATTATTTTATATATTTGAATTTAATTTGATTTTATATCATCTCATTTTGTTTTGTTTTATTTTGATTAATATTAATTTAATTTAATTTTAATATAATTTATGTTATTGAATTTTATTTGTTAAATTTATTTAGTTTAATTAAAGTAAATTTTTTATATATTTTTATCATTTTTTAATATAATAATAACACATTTTTTCATATAATTATTTTAAAAAATTTTTTTATTTTAATTCATTTTTTTATTTTATTTTATTTCATTTTATATTTTGTTATATATGTAATTATATAATGTTATTTAATTTTAGTTTTTATAATTTATTTTTTTTTTAATTAATTTTTTATATTTTTTTTATTTTATTTTATTTATTGTTATTTAATTTAATTTAATTTAATTTTATTTTTTTTATTTTAATTTATTTCATTTTATATTAATTAATATTTTTTTATTTAAGATTATTTAGTTTATTTTGTTAATTTTTTTTCGATTTCGTTATTTCAATGTCACCATTCAGCAGCAAAATTATCGCGGCATCATATATATATCATGTCAGCCACCATTATGTCGGCACCGTCAGCAATGATAGCATCATCATCGCCAACATGCATTTTTAATTGTTATTGTTATGTTTATATGCATCGTTTAAATGTTGGTTTGTTTCCGCGATTGTTGTTGTTTTCAGTGTTATTGCATTTTGGTGTAGTGTGGTGATTGTCGACGACATTATTAATTTGTTGTTATTGTTATTATTATTTTCATTGTAGTCACAAGTGGCGTTGAGTTGAGTTGATCCACAGATTGTCCGATGTCATTAATTGGCAATTAATACGAGTAATTCCATGGATAATTTGAGGTGTGAGTTGTTTTTAGCCACAGGATTATGAAAAGAGAAATAGGAAAAGTTATTTAGCGATTTTTTTTTAATGTTATGTGCGAAAAATATAATTAATTAAATATTTACGCTATCTTGGGATCCTCAATATAAAAAATAAATTAATTTTAATATAAGCATTGTCTTCCTAGACAGAATGGTTGTAAGTCCTCGTTTGCATTGTTATATGCACGTTTCTTTTGAGCTTAAAATATAGTTCAAAGTTTCTCCCATTTTGATAAAGTTTTCGAGAAACATTAAGGTTGGGCTTTAAATTTGCGGATTGTTTTTGAATCAAGCTTTATAATTTTCGAACCGAATTCCGGTCGTTAGAGTTTTATAGCAAAAAACAGTTTGTTGTAATTGATTTTGCTGTGGAAGAAATACTTGTTTAATGTTTTTTCATTTATCTTGCCAGAAGCACCTTTGGATAGCTTGACATTCCCTGCTGAGAGGCAACCTAAATTAAAAAAAAAATATTTTTTCAACATAATTTTGGCTGTTTGGTCAGACCTGGACTCAAACTCTGGCCTTTTAATTGTCCTTACGCAACGCTGACTACGCGACTATTGCTTCATCAATTCAAAATTATAGAAATATCTTAATTATTACCTAAAAATTTAATGCAGAATCGTTGGCTTTGAATTCTATAATATGTCAAGTTAAATACTAGTTCAATTAGGCATCTTGATACATTTGCCTGCCGCAAGTCTCGAACCGTAAGCCTATCGAACTACAGTGATATCTTCCTGTCGCTCGTCTATTGTACTATAACAAAAAGTAACTGAGAATGGAACTCAGCCGTGCAAGATGAAACAGCAACATACTGTGAAGGGAATTAATATTATTCTCTTTACTGCTAAACTGTTATACAAATAATAATGATTTCATCTTTAAAATATTCGTATTAAATGAGAATTTTTGAATAGAAGTAAGGAGCAAGTGGAGCAGAAGATATAAATAGAAGCTTGATGGCATTTATAAGAAGATTTGAGTAAAGAAAATCACAAATACGGGGCATAAATATTGTAGAACGAACTTAAGTGATAAATTTATTCACGAAGATAACACCAAATACACATGACCTCTTTGTTCTTTTTACAAATTCATTAGTCATTTTAATTATTGAGTAGAAAATTGTGGTTGGAATTAATTCATATTAAAGAAAAAGATATATGATAATAAAAAATAATTATAAAAATAAGAATCAGTTTGCGGTAATTTTCGACCAGTTATTCGCTCATACTGGGCATATCTCAGTCATCGATCGTGTTGCATGAACAAAACCGGTTCGGTTATCATACAACCATAACGCTTCGATTTAACAGGGACAGTCATGCCGTTCTCGTTTTTAAATGAGTAAGTTTCAAGTACCAAAAAGTAAGTTTCTTTATGTGCAATTATTGGTCACACTATTTGAGGGTTTTTGGAGCTAAAAATCCGACCATTTTCTCACTTTCGAATCAGCACTCTGATTTTCTTTGATTCAAGTTCGAGTGTGGAGGGAAATAACAAATTGAATGCAAGCAAGCTGTACTCACTTGAATACGGGAGTGTGCACTCGAGACCATATTCGAATGTTGTATTTCACTTCGTTCACATCAAATCAAGCTCAGCCAAAGTGAGAACATATGCGTATAATGTACTATTTATTTAGAGTCTCGTGATTGATTGTCTCCAACATTTACGTTACTTATGTGCCACTCAATCCAACGCAAAATTATCGAGTGTTGTGATTGAGTTGTACAAAATTTTTACTAATATGATCGAACAGGCTCAGGCAGACCCGTTGCAGCTCTCTGACACCTGGCCACGTTTGAATCTCAAATTTTGTGGAGGTTTTGATAATTTAAACATGATGTGCTGTTGTTGATCCAATTTTATAAATGCCCACTTTTAGCTTAAACAAAACATGTTTAGTTTCGCATTCAAGTTTGTCTGGTATCAAATACAGTACTGCACTTTTGAAACTACAATATGTTTAATAATTTTGTAATTGTGGCCTAGGTTGAGCAGGTTTTGTGCTATTAAATTTATTTCATTAATAAATATAAAAAAAGTCTTAAAATTGTACGATTCGATTGTATGATGATGATGTTTATGTAGATTTCAACGGAAAAATTATGATTAAAATTTAACAAGGTGAATATTTTATAATGAAGCGTTTTATAATTTTCAGTCTACACTGCCAACTTAACCCAGACATACAAGTATTTTTCTTGTGTTAAGCAAGAACACTTTCCACATTTTCTGTTAACACCTGCGGATTCTTTTTTGTTCTACCGACAAACCCAAGTATTCATATCTATATGAAAATATTTAAGTTCATAAATACAAACATATAAATATGTATATAAATGTATGTATGTCGATTTGTGCGTACAGTAAACTTTCTAAAAACTTTTTTTCAATTTTTTTTATGCTTTTGAAAATTTTTTTCTATGTCAACGGAAGTCAAGCAGACCGTTGCTCGGAAGTTTGAGATCATGACGACAAACACAAAAGCAATAACAATACAAAGTAAATCCCAACAACAAGGATAACTGGCGTATTTTGCAGCAAATCTGCCAACAATAAAGCTAATGTTGCCACACAGCCAAGCGTCGGAAGTGGTGTCATTAATATAGCGAATTTGTTGGTTGACTCGGTGCTCGGTGTATACAAAGTCAGGAGAGGACAATCAGCGCGCCAGTCGCGAAAATCTGTAGTTGGCCGGTTTGTGGAGTGTATAAAAGTGGCCGCAATTATGCGGTTAAATAGTGCAACCCGAAAGTGTGGTGAGTGGCAACAAATGCGAAAAAATTTGTCACGGTGTCAGAGGAATGAGTGTGAATTCGCGTCATATGAACAGACACATACACACACACACACACACACACACACTGTGCGACATACTTTTTTTGGTGGTTTAAAGTTATGGAAACGTGAACAGATTATTATTGTAATATTTTCATTATTCGCCACATAGGAGCATATGTGATTATGTGTTAGTAAGTGTAAAGAGAGAAATGTTAACTTAAGGTGGAGCGTTTTTTTAAAT